TTGCTAAATTCCTCGTCAATATCAATATCATTACCACTAATAAATATATTACTGCCAAAACCTACGGAACACCTCTGACCATATCAGATGAGTCCATAACACAATTTGGTCTAAACAAGAAACAGTTTATTATTTTTTTCTAAATGTTGCCACAAGAGATTTTTTAAAATATAAATTACATACTCGAATAGACGCCATGGCTATGGGTTCACCATTTAGCCCAAGTTATGCAAATGCTTTCCTATGCCACCCCGAATGAAACTGGTTAATAATTAACAATATGATTTTAAACTAATATTCTTCAAAAAAGTTATATAGATGACACATTTATTTTGTTCAAACAACAGTCACACAATTCCTGTCATATCAGAATGAACAACACCCAAACATTAAGTTTACCAGTGAAATAGAAAAAGAAAACGAACTCCTTTTCTTGACACACTGATATCCAAAGAAAACGGACTCCTTTCCACTCCGGTTTACAGAAAACCTACTTTCACTGGTTTGGGAATGAACTATTTAAGTTTCTCACCCATGAAATATAAGATTAACAACATCAGCACTTTAATCAACAGAGCATTCAACATGTGCTCCACCTGGATGCAATTTGACAATGAAATGAAGTCCTTGTTTGATTATTTCAATAACATATTTTACAAGACACTTAAGGGTGGGTACACACTTGTTGCATTTCCACGTATTGTATCATTGTTGCATTATCACCCAGTGATACAATTGCAACAGTGTCATTCAGTTTCTTCCTGACCGTATCCATGAGTGCAAATGTGCAGCTGGCTGCAGCCGCGTATATTTATATTCATGAACATAAAGTCAGTAAAAGGAAAAAAAAAAAGTCACAGCGTGGCACGCCGCACACGACAAGACTGAACGTGCAACTGGACGATGCCACGCTCCCCGTCCACACGAGGAAGGTGTCATTCCTTTGATGTGACGGCAAAAGACCGACAAATGGCGGATCGAGCGGGTGTGTGTTTGTGTCATATTTTGACACACAACTGTGAAACGCTATCCCGTCCACACTTCTACGCAACGATGATACTATACGTGGAAATGCAGCAAATGTGTACATGCGTACCTCGGACATGTAAGCTTAAACAATTTCGTGAGTTACTGAAGCATTCGTTCCCGCTGATCAACTTCAACATTTTTATAACTTATATAATCACTTTTTTTTTTTTTTTTATTCTTTTCTTTCTTTTTTTAAGAGGATGCCTAGCCCTCAGAACTATATTCAAATATCGTATATATTTTTAACTGTCCTAAATGTAATGCTAGGTATATAGGATCGTCTACACGATGGTTCATACATAGAATACTTGAACATATGAGTAAATCTGTAAAGCCGCCATCTCCTTTGTAATTTAACCTGGGACGTCCGGGGTAATACCTTCACATGCGATCTCGTCACGTCCGGGGTTTGATGCTGGACGTTAAGGGCTTATGACGTCATCGTTTCTAGAGGCGGAGCCCATCACCTGGTCGAGAACAAGCTCGGCCCCCTTGCTTCAGCGCATGCGTGATAGCGTTACTTCCCCAGGGCCCCTCACTGAGCATTAGGTCTGATGCCAGGTAGAATTAATTGTTTTTAATTAATGCAGGAAATAAATAGCTAAACAGGCAACAGTCATCGGTGCTTATTATACTCTTACAACTTTCATATCTATTTGCAATAATACTTCACAAAAAAAAATTATAAGCTCATACAAAATGAAAACACCATGTAAATCTGCACCATTTCCAGTCGTAGACACTCTGTCCCGAAATAAATCCGTTGGCCTCAGGATCGTGCATACAAAGCTTATCACTACCATAAAAACAAAAAGTTTTATATGTTGTACTTACCCTATATAAAGTAAAACTCAAAGGAATTGTATGTTTAGATTATCCGTGAATATTATTTTGACTGTAGGTCTTTAAAAATTGAGTATTTATCAAATGATTGCATTCGGACACTGCTCGAAAACACTCATACCGCGCAAGCAGCGAGTTGCGATGAAAGCATATTTCTTATTATCAAGAGTCAAAATGCCTTGCATGTATTCACTTGATATATTTGGGTAATTGTATTGCTGTTGCTACATTTTCATTGTAACAGGCATTTAAAGACTGCATGCAGGGGAAAGTGAAAATATGCGGAGAATAAATATAAAGAAATATTAATGACTGAAGAGAGAGAGAGAGAGAGAGAGAGAGAGAGAGAGAGAGAGAGAGAGAGAGAGAGAGAGAGAGAGAGAGAGAGAGAGAGAGAGAGAGAGAGAGAATTCAAAACACTTCATTCCATTATTTGCAATGGTTCTCTTTTGTTCATAAACAGTAGCATTGTACTTGTAATATAAAATAACTGAAGATAATATCAAGCTCATTCGTAGGGGAATTATGAAATAAATCAAATAAATTGGCCATATTATTAGAAATAGAGGTACATCGTTAGATGTCAATGCCAATTCAAAAGATGCTCCTTCAATTTCCTTTTGAAAAT